TTACATAGGATATCAGCCTCACTGTCTACCATGGATATGTGTATGCTCGCTGTAATAAGTTACGTAGGATGTCAGCCTCACTTTCTACCATGGACATGTGTATGCTCGCTGTAATAAGTTACGTAGGATGTCAGCCTCACTTTCTACCATGGACATGTGTATGCTAGCTGTAATAAGTTACGTAGGATATCAGCCTCACTGTCTACCATGGATATGTGTATGCTCGCTGTAATAAGTTACGAAGGATGTCAGCCACACTGTCTACCATGGACATGTGTATGCTCGCTGTGATAAGTTACGTAGGATGTCAGCCTCACTGTCTATCATGGACATGTGTATGCTCGCTGTGATAAGTTACGTAGGGTGTCAGCCTCACTGTCTACCAGTGACATGTGTATGCTCGCTGTAATAAGTTACGTAGGATATCAGGCTCACTGTCTACAATGGACATGTGTATGCTCGCTGTAATAAGTTACGTAGGATGTCAGCCTCACTGTCTACCTTGGACATCTGTATGCTCGCTGTAATAAGTTACATAGGATATCAGCCTCACTGTCTACCATGGATATGTGTATGCTCGCTGTAATAAGTTACATAGGATATCAGCCTCACTGTCTACCATGGATATGTGTATGCTCGCTGTAATAAGTTACATAGGATATTAGCCTCACTGTCTACCATGGATATGTGTATGCTCGCTGTAATAAGTTACAAAGGATGTCAGCCTCACTGTCTACCATGGACATCTGTATGCTCGCTGTAATAAGTTACATAGGATATCAGCCTCACTGTCTACCATGGATATGTGTATGCTCGCTGTAATAAGTTACGTAGGATGTCAGCCTCACTTTCTACCATGGACATGTGTATGCTCGCTGTAATAAGTTACGTAGGATGTCAGCCTCACTTTCTACCATGGACATGTGTATGCTCGCTGTAATAAGTTACGTAGGATGTCAGCCTCACTGTCTACCATGGACATCTGTATGCTCGCTGTAATAAGTTACATAGGATATCAGCCTCACTGTCTACCATGGATATGTGTATGCTCGCTGTAATAAGTTACGTAGGATGTCAGCCTCACTTTCTACCATGGACATGTGTATGCTCGCTGTAATAAGTTACGTAGGATGTCAGCCTCACTGTCTACCAGTGACATGTGTATGCTCGCTGTAATAAGTTACGTAGGATGTCAACCTCACTGTCTACCAGTGACATGTGTATGCTCGCTATAAAAAGTTACGTAGGATGTCAGCCTCACTGTCTACCATGGACATGTGTATGCTCGCTATAAAAAGTTACGTTGGATGTCAGCCTCACTGTCTACCATGGACATCTGTATGCTCACTGTAATAAGCAACGACCACAATGGTCGTTACGAATGAAGGATGTTTGGATTAGCCGTCGATTTCATTGTGTTTGCTGAATACAAATAATGAACCTTTATACTATATACTTTGAATGATCACTCAGACAATGAAGAACCGTTTTGGCGCTGAAGGTGTATCGTGCTAGACGAACGTTTTGACGGACAATGGTGTCAAGGATATGGCCACTACTGCGAAGACAAGTTTGGTTTCGTGATGAGTCACGTGTTATGCTTATTAACGGTTGTCGCGGGGAACGTTAAGCACGAAGATGCATACATGAGTTGGTAGCGGTAGTGCGATGATGTGGGCAGCCATCTCTTACACTGGTAGAACAGACCTGGTGCAAGTTCTGGGGAATTTAACGGCACAACGTTACACGGATGATTCTTCCCATTATGCAACAAACGGACGTCAGTTTCCAAAAAGAAGACAACGCCCGAGCTCACACCCAAGACTGACAACAGTCTTTTTCAGGACTCACAACATCCAGGTCCTGCCATGGTCCCCTAGGTCTCCAGATTAAAACCCAATCGAACATTTATGGGATGCACTGGATCAACGACTGCGAGCACGTCAGCAACAACCACATAACATCCGACACTTGGCACAAGCACTGCAGGCCGAGTTGGGAACATTCCCCAGGCCACAAGTCGGGATCTGATTGCTTCCATGGGACGACGATACCAGTCAGTTTTGGACTCAAAATGTGGCCTTACAAGATATTGAGAACAGATTACCTTCACCTTGAAAATCTACTGTTCCATGTGTGCCATGTGAAGCCTGGGTCAATGACAATGATGTGCGCCAATTTTGAACAATCGATTACCATATGATTACTTATATGATGAATAAATTATACATCTAAAAATCACTTTTGCAGAAAATATGTGTCTAATACAAATTGGCCTTATTGATATTGATATTATTTCAATGTAATATATAGAAAACATGACATCTAAAAACTAGGAAAGTAGTTTCTAGGTTTAAAGTTCCAGGTATCATATTTCCCTATATAAATCTTTCCAATCATCACGTTGTGGATGCAATGACATTATTTCTTCTGTTTGTTTATGATGGTGTTACCTTGTAGATTAATGAAGAAATGTGGTGTTTTGGGAGATACCAGTGGGGTTAGGGGGAACCCCTAGATCTGAAACCCTGACTGGTAATACCTGGATACGTTTTGTTTGTTGTTTAACGTCGCCCTCAGCAATATTCCAGCTATATGACGGCGGTCTGTAAATAATCGAGTATGGACCAGACAATCCAGTGATTGACATCATGAGCATCGATCCACGCAATTGGGATACGATGACATGCATCAACCAAGTCAGCGAGCCTGACCATCCGATCCCATAAGTCGCCTCTTACGACAAGAATAGTTGCCTTTTACGGCAAGCATGGGTTGCTGAAGACCCCGTATCTTCAAGGGTCTCGGACACGTTGACTTGTGACCTAATAATTAACCCCATATGACTGTGTATGAGGTCCGCTCACTGGCGCGTACCATTGTGAAGAAAGCTGTACGATGGATATGTGCGTGTCCCATCTCGGCTGACGAGTTCTTGTGGCGAGTTCAATAGCACATGATGGTGCTGCTAATGTGAGGTATCCGATGACAGTGAAAACGGTGACAACAAATTTGCAAAGATAATAATTGAGAAGTATCTTGACAATGATAGGAATTCATTTGCGGTTAAAATGGAATACATTTTACCCCAGAACGTGCGATATCTTCTGCTCTGATGAGCTTTAGCGTAGACAGACCAGTGGCAATGCTAGCTTTTGACAATGCTTGAGATATATTTGTACATGCTTCACATGTAATTTATGACATTAAAGCCCAATTCACGAGCCTGAGAATGTATGATTTGGCCATACTTACCTAACTTAGACATGTGTATTTGTTTGTAATTTACTTCTATCCAACGACGTTCAAAGAATTCTGGTATCGACTTGTCACACAGACCTCTTAATTGTCTTACGAACAACACGTGTCAATTTCATCGTCATGACCTGCACGTATAGAACATACGCACATCTTCTCTACCTGTAACAAACCAAATGTTTGCCCAAATTGTGTGCACTGGCTTCTTGTCTCAAACGCGTTTGTGAGTTGGTCAAAATTTGACTGGATTACTAAATGTATCCAGGAAAAAGAGTGTTGACTCCGAGTTCTTGTTTTATCTTTTTAATGGCGAGCGCCCGGCAGGTTAAGTACAATCGTTTAACGTCTTCTGGTATGACGAGACAGGGCATCAACCACCGAGCTGTGGCTCTGGGCTTACGCTCTATCCACAAGACCACGCAGGCGGTCTTGGGCATGTGGTAACATGTGAACACATCTGATAACTACCCAGACATGAACATGCATGTGCAAATGATAGTTACTCTTACCGGCTTCACGAGTCACGGCAGCACATATGGCCATTTTCACTGGTCTTTTGAAAAGACGGTCTCGCTGATGACACGTTCGCCATAAACAAGACAGAAACAACACAGTTGTATTTAGAGTGGCTGTATTGTTTTTTTCCCTTAGTTCATGGCGTCTGTGCTTAACAGCGATGTCCTGTTGGTGACGTTGTCCATGGGCCCAGATCAGTGCACTTCTTTTCCGTGGGTGTCCAGTTTGAGAGTGATGGAACTTCACATTCGTTTTGGGCCTTTACCCAGCATGCATATGCCGTATGTAATGAAATTATTTCTATAATAAACCAGGCTAAAACTATATGAAGAGTGACTGGGGATGGAATCTGCCCTGTGCATTTCAGTGCGTCATTTTGTTATCGGTAGTTTTGTATCCCTGGACCATTTAGCCATCCTTTAATACATTTATAAGAAAGTGTTATAAATGGATTTGAATCCCATTTAATTAGCATAAGTTCAAGGGCAGGAATTTCCGTTTGCACCAGACAAGAAATGATGGCCTGGCTAGTTAGGATCAGTAGAAAGTATACCAAGTTATTCACAGAATAGTAACATTAAACATAAGCAAAGACACGGAACATTTCCTATCATGCCTATGTGGAAGTGGACACTTTAGTAACACATTTTAACACTGGCTCCAATCTCAATACATTGTAACGATATTTTCAAACTTGTATAAGTAGACTTACATATTGTACATACTACTATATTAGAAATCCTGGTGATAAAACGACCTGAGTAACGAAACTACCAGGATACGAAATGACACGGAACCATTCGAATCATAACGGCAGTTCCCATACCCCCTAATGTTAAACAAAACGCTACAGACAACAAAGTTCCTGCACGATATTGTACGACCGCTTCGGAGCAGTGGCAGCCAGCAGTTTACACTTTCATGATCTCCACCTATAAAATGCATCCAATGGTGATGTGTCCTGCGGCAGAAATTCTGCCTTGAAAGGGCAACCTCGCTTGAAGACGAACAGTTTCGGACTGCTTATTGCGATTGGTCTTTGGACTATATAATATTTTCATGACCCTCCCCACCAATACAATACAATATAACATTTTTCAATGATCACTATTGGCTTTCCTCCCACATTTAGTACTCACTGCCTCATTCATTACTGATAAAACCAGCCCAGTCCAAAAAGAATCACTGCAAATGAAATGTTCGCAAAGGAAAAAACAACCATATGGTTTATTTGAAATACTTTTATTATTCTCAGTTTAGCATTCATACATCAGTCTCACAATTATTCGTTTCATATCAAAACCAGGTCTGTGCTGCTGTAACATAACCAATTGTTGTAAAATCTCACATCTACTTAAGAAAGCACATAATCTAGATTCATTGGCATTACAGAAAGTCAAGAATTCTCACATTTATTTGGTCCCATTCAGTCTGAGTGAAATGTGTTAACTCAGCATGGGCAGACCATGCCAATGGCTACAACAGAGGTAAGAAAACAACAGCCTCGTCCCAAAACAACCAGTGATGCCAAGTACCTAGAAGATACACTTACATTTGAATTATAACTACCAAGATACACCTGCCCAGTATTTGAATACTACCCACCCTGGTTGTTTTATTACTGGACTGTGACATCAAAACACAATGGATTTCAGTGAACAGAGTTATGAGCAACCGCCAGGCACCAAACAAAGACCAGGGTTTATGTCCAGATGGCGGCCTGTGCATGCAGATTGAAAAAACTTGAGCATAAGCAACATGTCCAAGTCGGCAGCAGATTCTGTAGCTAAATTCTTTTACAGTCTGGCAATATCTGATACTAAATCACACAGAACTTCCATGGCATTAAAACCCCAACAATTACATGATAGTTTGTTAAACAACTCTGTCTCTACTTCATGACAATGTCTGAAATTATGGTGTCGAGTTAGTATGGACAAATAAATAACTTTCATGCCATTTAAGATGGATTGTTGCTTTCAGATTTATACGCATCTTGCATTTCATTGGTACTATTTTGCAGTTAACGGACTGTGGTAAAAAGCCCTCGACAGTCACCCCTCATGGAGGCATTAGCAATAAGACTCTCAGTCCCTTACCATGGCTTCACAGTAAATGGATGGTTCGAAGACTGCTTTCTTCAAGTGGAACCCAGTAGTAAACACACTATGGATTCCTTGTAATACTTTTAAATATTTCACATAATCTCTGTACAACTTTTAGAGCACTGTTTTTATACATGTCATAAATTGTGGTAAGATAATAGATAATCAACGCATGATCAACCAAGCACAGTAACCAGTAATGTGTATATACAAGACAAGTTGTAACCAGGTGTAACACAAGGAAGTGTACTGATAGGGGTGCCACAAATATCTCCATGGTATCACACTACACAATTTATTGTCATCTTTTCAATATCATGAAGTCAATTAAGAAATCTTTAACATGATTAATACTTAAATTTATGAAGCTATTGTCCCTTTACACAAAGCTAGCAGCAATAGTGCTGTATGGTTGGTTGTAACAGTGACATGCCATGAAGTACTGCACTACACCCAGTCTCACATAGCATGGCAGCGGAGGTATACACAACCACCTACAATCTCCATGTCTTCAGCACCTCTAAAAATTAAAGTACACAATGCAATTGTATAAATAAGCAACTGTACATAATCAATGTGTGAATCAAGGTAACAAAACACACTTTATGAAGGTGAGATGCTGCCAGGCAGGTCAGGTGTAACCGGCAACAATAATGTCAATCATTCTGCTTCTGTACCACCGTATGGAGATTGTAACAATGAAGTATCCACATTGACCAACTACAGATGATATGTATTAGTTATAACACTTTGTGATGCTTCAACATAATTAGGTCCCATTTCTACTTGTTCTTTACTGCTATTTTGCATTATTTGTCACATAAAAAAAATATTAGTTAATTAAATATATGCTTTGACAATACATATACATTGCATTACTTACTGTGCAAGGTTTCTGTTGCGATAAGAACATTTATGGTTGTTTAACTTCTTACCATCAGCATATAAATATACAACTGAATATTGACGTTTGATGATCAAGTGCTTGTGGCAGTATCAGATTGTAAACAAATCTAAAATAAATCAAATTTAACAATCGTAAAAATCTCATGTACAACCTCGTAGTAGACGGCCATCCACCAGACACCATGCTACATAACAATCAGAAAACAAACACTCCATCTCCCACATCAAACACCAGCACAACAGTCAGTCTCCATGGCAGCATGTTCAATACAGCAAATTTGCTGAGGTGTGTTTGACTCAAAAAACTGTTTCAATTGGTTGAGTTCTTATATACATAACAAACCATGCAATATTATCCTGATGTTTCCCATATTTACAGTAAATTGTTCACACTTGTATAGCAGGAGCTACTGCAGCACGAACTCCAAACCACCTGCAGACAACAGTCGTACATTTCACAATGTTGAAATAAACATCTACTGATAATATCGACAGTTTGTGCAAACATGGATAATGATAGTATTAATTTTTTTTATGTATGAATTGAGGATGAAAAAAACTTTATCAAACAAGTGAGCTAGTTAAAATTTACCATTGCATCAGCATTATTTCAGCCACAGAGCAACCTATCACATCAATAAGAGCCTTTCTTGGTATGGCATATCTAACCTTCCCATCAGATCCCCACTGGGATGTAGCTTCATTCAAGTACTGTCCTTTGTATGTCAACCATCAAACACACCAGCTATTGTTGAAAACAACAGGAACAGGAGCATGTTGTAAAATATTTATAACCTAACAATGAGTGCAATCAAAATCCTTGCAGCCCATTGTAAACTGTGTGTTTTGATTCCATATTGAGCAGTTTCTTCAGGTCTGAAACAAGAATACAGGGCATTAGCAGTCACTGCCTACCTTGACATGCTCAATATTTGCGACAAAATATACATCACCTCAAAGTCTGGTTGACATATGACAATTGTGGGGGTTTTCTCTTCAAGAAAACAAGAGGGCGTCACTGTGAATTCACTTTAGTCACAGTACTTTACAAATAGGGGATGCCAATAATAAACAGCTTCATCAGACAATTTAATCAAAGATGCTTACATTTCTAATGCACATGTGCTTAGTATATTTAACACTAAACACAAGTGATCATACAATCACTCATAATAGATGATGGTTTGGCTACCTCATGCTTACTTTATAAGTGCTCATTATCATTGAAGTATATTTGGGATGTTTAACACTTTTTAATAGTTGTAAGTAACCATACATACTCATTATCACAACACAACAAACTGTAAACATATCTTCAGTTATGGTCAAACCTGTGAAGATCCAGGTTAGACTAAGTCTTCAGCAACTTATGCTTGTCGTAAGAGGCGACTAACGTGATTGGGGTGACAGACTCGCTGACTTGATTGATGATGATCATATCCCAAATGTGTGGATTGATGCTCATGATATCAATCACTGGATTGTCTGGTCCAGACTTGATTATTTACAGATTGCCATCATATAGCTGGAATATCGCTGAGTGCAGCGTTAACAACACACAAAGAAACAAAAGTTATGGTCAAAGATTCTTAAAGTTTCATATCTGGTAAAAACTGGGTTATCATGGTTATTTGACTTAGTTTCCTGAACTTCAAAATAAATATAATGATTTTGTATCAACTGATAATGACCAGTGGTAGATAATAAACTCACAACTGATTCCCAACAGCACTATATATACACCCACCCTTAGCCAAAAAGCACCAGAAGCAGTCATATAAATCACCACAATTTGCTGTGCAGAGTTGCATCCATTTGATGCAGGAATTTCTCATTCTACCCAGTTATGACTTTGGCCTATTTGTATGTCTGGAGCAACTGAAATCTACAACAGGATCTTTCCAGTCTGACTTCTACAGCTTACCTGGCAATTTACAAAGAATTCAATGATGATTATGTTTGTGATGTTTAGCAATATATTATAAATGTGAAAGTTACAGCTTAATATAAGCTTTGTGAAGTATGCTGATTGGGGCTGATGTGACCAGAAGCATCTGTAATTGTCAATGTCAGTAGATGATGAAGAACCAACACACATCTTGTAAGACTGTTACCTGCTCGCACTTCTTCTGTCAGTGTTCCTTTTGGGAAGTCAATATCAAACGTGATGTACAGGGATCCTTTAACATTGTTATTCTCATAGTTGGGCATCCCTTCATTGGACTTCCTCATGCGGGCGCCAGGCCAGGTGATCTTGTCTCGCACGATGTGAACCTGTTGCAGTCAAACAATTAACACACTGTGTCACCACATTCACCCTTAGCCATGCTGAAGGAAACTAAACCGTTGGAACATGGAGTGGACATGTGCTGAAAAAATATGAGGCAGATGAGGGTTGTGATGGAAATGTGTAAACTGAATGCAAACAAATCAAGCTGCACTGCCATAGGAAAAAGGAGCACAAAATGCTAGAGAATCAATGATATTACCATACAGGTCAAGTTGTAAACTTAATTATATGCAAAAGAGCTTCTTTTGAGAACAGTAGAAACAGGAGATTTTCACTACAAATAACACTTAGGCGACAATTGTTTTATTTTTTGGTTTACGGATTTCAAACTCATTTCAAAAGTGAGGCAGGCCAATTTAAAAAAGAAAAGCCTCTCACATTCTTATTACTTGAATTTTGTCCTAAAAGGTTAGGTAGGTATGAAAAAAAATATCCTGGAATAACAAAAGTAAATAACTCAATTTTATTATATTTATTACATTTTATTATATCCCTGGCACTCAGCTTGTGCACAAATGGCAATATAACAATACTCATGTCACAGGTGGAAATGCATGAAAGACGCGGCTATTTTGGCAGCATGGGCAACATTTAACTCCTTCAATACCAGCCAACCAGAAGATTATTGCTGGGACACCAAGTTCCCAGAGACTCTTGTGTGATAGATGAAGCCAACATTATCAAGGAAATTATCTGCTTATAAAACATCTTTCTTACTACATGTTTGGTCATACACTATTTGAAAGGTCTAATTTATCATATTGTTTATAAATATGAAATTTATGTGTATTACATTATTTAAAATATAGCTGCAAAACAGCAATGGCGGGCTCCAAGTTACACTGTGCACAAACATCCATGTTCGAACCCTCAAAGGGTTTCCTTGTACCAAATCTGTCACATGTAGGCACGCTGCTACGAAATTGGAGTGTGGTAAATTTGTTCTAAACCCATTTCCAACATCAAACATGTTCGAATCCTCAAAGGGTTTGTTTGTACCAACTCTGTCAAAAGATAGTCACCGTTTGCAGGACATCTTCGCTACGAAATTGGCGTGTTCCAGTGGTGTCCCCAATATAAATCAAATATTACCACCAAGTTTTGTTACCTTTTCCATGCACCCAAGAACAGAAAATAAGATGCATATGACACATCAACTTCGTGTAAACTTGCAATAGTTTCTGTCAACAAACTAACAAAATATGATCTTTAAATTTCGGTAATTTTTTTTCAAAATCCAATACAACCGCAACTAAAAGAGATATCCAAAAACGGCTATTACAGTTTGTTGTGTTCTGTATGGAGACAATTCTCAGAAAGTTTGGAAGCATTTCATGCAGTGGACTCGGATTTGTTTGCGTTTGAAGACACTGTGAAAACCTTGAATCCAATATGGATGCCAAACCACGTGACCAATGACCAAAGTCAAAGAACAAAAAATAAGGTACATATGGCACACTAACTTCATGTAAACTATCAATGGTTTCTTCGGAGAACCTTACAAGAAATGATCTTTAAAGTAAAATCTTGGTGAAAAAAATGATCAAAATCAAAATCCAACATGGCCGCAACTAAAAAAGATATCCAAAATTTATGGATGGATAGTGCTAGGTTCTTTATGGATGCATAGTGCTAGGTTACGAGCTGTGACAAAGATTTCTTAACCATATATTTTGGCAATAAAGACATTGCGTCCGAGCCGAGATGTCATTTGACTTACGATTACACGCGATCGCAAGAAAAAATGGAAATAATAACTTAGATGTCAGTTTGGCAACTTTTAGATATTTTTTTTGCTGATTTTATTACTTTGTATAATATATTCAAAGATTTGCTTGAAACGTCTTTATTTTGCTGTTCGACATGTTCGATGACGACCCGTTGTCGAAGTGTGTCCAAGAATTTTATTTTCAATAACATTGCGGGAAATAGTGTCCAGTGAATACATTTTTAATCTACAAGATAAAAAATGATAAAATCAAATGAAATACGTATTTCAGACATTGTGAAATTTATCACATTAAAAGTGTCGCCCTAGCTGACAAATAATTGTGTAAAATGCTTCCAATAAATATTGAAAGACATCAGTGAGAAGTGGGACTTACTTTGTGACCATCCAAATGTTTGATGTCCATCTCAAACCCTGCTAGTGCATCCATCAATGATATTGTCACATTTGTGTACAAGTCGTCTCCTCTACGCTCAAACTTCTTATGTCTAAAAAAAACAACCCAGCAAATTTGCAAACATGTTAAAATGTCTCTTTTACTCTTGCATCACATGTTGATATGTCCAGTACAATATGAATGCTGCATAGAGAGTAGTAAATTAGAGATAGATACAGCATGATGCAGTCCATAAGAAACTAACATCTCATCATATCATGATCAGGTGTGAGAAGGGAATGCAATGGGAAGCAATGGACCTTTACACCAGGTTTTCATAATCGCATGCATTACACATATCCATCTTTCAGTAAGATATTATCAATTACTTACTTAGTTTGTTTTATTTTGAATCTAAGATCTCCTGGCTCGCCATCAATATGAGGTTCACCTACAACAACAAGGTGTAATGACAACATGGACACTTGACTGAATGGATTTATATGCAAATAAGAGAATATACTTATATCTACTGTGTATAAAAGTTTGTTCTCAGTTCATGCCCCAGAGCACTGTGAACTGCTGGAACTGATCTAGGAGTTTTCAGTTCATACCCCAGAGCACTGAACTGCTGGAACTGATCTAGTTGTCAGTTCATGACCCAGAGCACTGAACTGCTGGAACTGATCTAGGAGTTCTCAGTTCATACCCCAGAGCACTGAACTGCCAGGGCTGATCTAGGAGTTCTTAGTTCATACCCAAGAGCACTGTGAACTGCCGAAACTGATCTAGGAATTCTCAGTGTCCCTTCAAGGCCACATGTCTACAAGAAATGTTAGTAATAATTCCCAAATTCTCAAAATATGGAATATATGCATGAATATATATAAACAAGAGGCCCATAGGGCCTGTATCCTCACCTGGATATTTACACAATCATGACAAGATATTCATTTGCATTGTACATGTATATAATACTGCAAATATTTCGTAATTTTGACTGTCAGCATTTAAAAGCCCCTCCATTTCTCCAATTTAAATCCTCACCATTGGAGAATGCTTCCACCCAAATATGGTTGATATCTATCTCTTTGTTTTACTTAGTTTCTGAGAGCAGTTGAAATCACATCATAGCGATAGTTTTGTTAATTTATTTTTTTGTTAAAAGCAACGCTCAGCAATATTCCTGCTATATCCCGGTGGTCTGTAAATAATCAAGACAGACAATCTACTGATCAACATCATGAGCATTGATATATGCAAATGGATACAATGACTCATGCTGATCGTGAATTATAGGCATGTGAGGTGTGGTGACCTTGTCATACTCAATACTACAACTAAGTGTTACCATGGTCACAACATTAACATTGAACGCATACAAAAGATTCTGAGTAATTAAAAGATTTGCTGTTCGATAAAATGGTCATAAATAAAGCACATAGTTTGATTAATTGACATAAAATGGCAAACTAGTGTACACAAAAAGGGATATTTTTGGACTGCCACAGTTCTTTTCTCTGATGTGAGTATGCCTATATCCACTCAAACAGCTGGACACAACGTACTGCCACCTGTATTACCCTACAGACCTTCTCAAAGGTGAGGCAAAGGTGCGACAGTGAGTGTAGTGGACAAAAAATTATGTGTTTGTGCAGTAGACACTACTATCAGTGCAGCGGTAGACACTACTTTCAGTGCAGCGGTAGACACTACTATCAGTGCAGCGGTAGACACTACTATCAGTGCAGCGGTAGATACTACTATCAGTGCAGCGGTAGACACTACTATCAGTGCAGCGGTAGACACTACTATCAGTGCAGCGGTAGATACTACTATCAGTGCAGCGGTAGACACTACTATCAGTGCATCCCTAGACAGTACTATCAGTGCAGCGGTAGATACTACTATCAGTGCAGTGGTAGACACTACTATCAGTGCATCCCTATACACTACTTTCAGTGCAGCGGTAGACACTACTATCAGTGCAGCGGTAAACACTACTATCAGTGCAGCGGTAGATACTACTATCAGTGCAGTGGTAGACACTACTATCAGTACATCCCTAGACACTACTATCAGTGCATCCCTAGACATTACTATCACTGCATCCCTAGACACTACTATCAGTGCAGCGGTAGACACTACTATCAGTGCAGGGGTAGACACTACTATCAGTGCATCCCTAGACAGTACTATCAGTGCAGCGGTAGATACTACTACCAGTGCAGCGGTAGATATTACTATCAGTGCAGCGGTAGATACTACTATCAGTGCAGCGGTAGATACTACTATCAGTGCAGCGGTAGACACTACTATCAGTGCATCCATAGACACTCCAATCAGTGCAGCGGTAGATACTACTATCAGTGCTGCGGTAGACATTACTATCAGTGCTGCGGTAGACACTACAATCAGTGCATCCCTAGACACTACTATCAGTGCAGCAGTAGACACTACTATCAGTGCAGCGGTAGACACTACTATTAGTGCATCCCTAGACACTACTATCAGTGCATCCCTAGACACTACTATCAGTGTATCGGAAGACACTACTATCAGTGCAGCGGTAGGCACTACTATCAGTGCAGCGGTACATACTACTATCAGTGTATCGGAAGACACTACTTTCAGTGCAGCGGTAGACACTACTATCAGTGCAGCGGTACATACTACTATCAGTGTATCGGAAGACACTACCATCAGTGCCCGTTAGACACTACTATCATTGCTGCAGCATCATACATACCCTCAGCAACAAATGGATATTCCTGCCCATCTCTCATGCCAGATTCAATCTCTATTTCTAACAGCTTCTCTTCAGGTACAAACCTGCAACAAACCAGTATGTGTGTGATGTGAACATGTAAATGACTAACTTGATGAAGAAGATGTGACAGGGACCTGGATGTTCAAGTCATGTAAATAGCTTGTGTATTTCCCCAACATATGCATTCAACAAGTAAGTTTATACAGACTTCAGTGGTAAAATTATCTGAAACCAAAAGTTGTGTTCTGAAGATACACAGAAGATCTGTAGCAGTTTTTGCTATTCACTACAGTATAAAGAAATGCAAGGTGTAACAGTAATGTTTCTGGAGACATGATAATAAACTAACCTCCACACCTAAGTGTGCTCAAAGTGCTTACAAAAGTCGCTATCATACCTCCATGTCAGAATGATGAGATCTGATTATTTCATGATCTTGATAAAATACCATGTATGACGTCTGGGAGGGAAATACATCCCAGAGTGTAGGAGTAAATCCCTTATACCCTGCCAGAAAGCACACAGGCTGCACATGGATTTCTGAGAGGCAGAATAATCCCTTATACCATGCTTCAAAGGAAAAAGCTGCACGCTTTCACTGAGTCAATGTAAGTCATGTGACACAGCACAAGTTAACCTCAGCTCAATTAAACAGCTGTTTATCAATTTAGCTAACGTGTGGGAATAAAACCAAATGTACCCCTCTTGATACTCCTGCAACTAACAATATGTATTAATATTAAACGAACAACAAAACAGGTATTTCTTTAGCTGTTTCTTGAACTGACTGAGTGTAGAAAGTGTGTCGTATATATACAGGAAGTGAAATCTACTCAACGGCTGCATTATAGGTGAAAGACCTCACTCCGGATGTACTAAGCTGCACTTAACATGCTTAAGAGACCTCAAGTAACATCAAGTAACATCTGATGATGAGTGTAGGGGTGTTGAAGGACAGTACTCCTATCACTACATCACACAGATAAGCAGGGGCTGTGCTGTTGACACACTGATATGTGAGGATCTCGTACTGTATCCATTGCTTGACCAGAAGCCAGTGAAGATACTTCAAAATCGGAGTGATGTGATATGATTTCCGGTATTTTGTTACCATGGTTACAATTCTTGTAGCTTAGTTTGTATCTGTGTACAGCTGAAGCTCCTGCAAGCAGGCTATTACAATCATCTGCTGCAAGTGCTGCTGTCTACTGAGAAGGTGGCACATGTTGCCAATATTACAGAGATGGGTACAGCATGTTTTCACAAGGTCATTGATGTGCTGTTCCATTGTAAGTGACATTTCAAGCGTAATCCCTTTTGATAACACAAATCCTTCTCAAGTGTCTCTCTCATATCACCGATCTCTCTCTATCACTGGTGTCACTGACACCTTTCTATCACTGAGAGTCATATCAAAAGACGTTAAAAGATGGTACTTGTTGTTACCTTGTCTGGTACTCAGCATTAAGGGGCTAAAACAAGGACTGGTCAGCTCGGAGTCAGCATACTGTGTCTGAGTGGAGTATTCATTTGAAACTGTGGCATGGTATCTCAGTGTAAAACTAGCACTATAAATCGATCCGCGCGCGCGCACGCACGCACAGGTGCAATAATCTTGGATGTGACGTTAAAACCCATTTCACCTCACCTACCACTGGTGTCACTGACCTGTCTCTACAGTAACTGACCTGACATTAGGGCACTCGTCACAGACTTGTTGCTGCATCATCTGGAACCTTCCTGGCCCAAGTTGTTGTGTCACCATCTCCATCCTACAGTTACACTTCCGCGTTCCTTTAGCAGGTTTCGCAACGGGCTTGTATCTCACCACCTGGATATGAATATTGTACACATGACATATCTGGGTATGTTTTATTGGTTTCTCACATGATATTCTCTCCAACTTGGCATTGACAGTAAAATTTGAAAATTAAGAGACTTGCATGTTGGTTGGTAGCTTTGTTAGAGAATATATAATCTGATCATGAGTGAGTGAGTGAGTGAGTTGGGCTTAACGCCGCTTTTAACAGTATTCCAGTCATATCAAGGCGTGTCAGCATAATGTGGGAGGAAAGCCCGAAGTGATGCAGGTCTCAGACATTTACCACTTCGGTGAAACCCACGAGCACGGGTATGGTGCTGACAAACCTAGAAACATAATCAGGGCGAACCGGGATTCGACCCCACAATCATAGGTTTCTGGTGTGCCCAAGGGACGCAACTCTGCACAGCGAATCGCGGCGCCTTAGACGACTGGGCCACCCGTGCCCCCTCTGATCATGAGAGAAAGTGATGTCCATATTGATGATTAGTGATTTCTACTGGGAGGTTTTGTTTATGGCTTACATAAATATTGACCAGGAAATGTACAGTATCATACTGTCACTGCTTTTTTCACACCAGATTTAACAACAGATCTGTATATAGCCAGCAGGGGTAGATTTAACAACAGATCTGTATATAGCCAGCAGGGGTAGATTTAACAACAGATCTGTATATAGCCAGCAGGGGTTGCTCTGAGATTATATCTTGACTTCCATTTGCCTCATTTTGTGGCGATTTATGAGAAAATAAAGATGTTGTTGTACACAACATAACAGAATGGCCACCAGTTGTGTCATTCTATTGTGATGATCGGGATATGTCCTTCTTTGAGTTAATTATTAACACGACCTCATCCCCCCTAAATATTTTCTCATTGAAATTACATGATTCACGAGCAGTGGCCAATTGAAACAAGAGTCATCCAAAGATGACATATCCCCTCGACGTGGCATGTCGGTAAATTGTGTGTACCTTCAAATGTATTTAGATTGGCAAGGAAATCTTTTTCCTTGATGCCGAAACTAGAAATATAATGAAGGTTATTAAATATTGGTTCATGTAGCTCACTTTCTGATGATCTCATGAAATTGTAATAACAATAACTTCGCAGATTCGCATATGAATAGCTCTGTAGTAGCCTCATGACACAAAGGCATAGAGAGAATGTACTAGGTTATGTAGCTCACATCATATATAGTATATGATATCAGTAAATAGTACACCTTAGAATTATATGTCGGGCTACAAATTAAAAAGATTAAAATCTATAAATAACAAACTGCACTACTAGTGAACATGATTGATATGTGCATAAAGTTTGGTGAATCTCTGTTGCATGGTTTAGAAGATATGCTCCAGACTAGGACATTACCCTAAGTTCATCAATTTTCAATATAAAATGAAAAAAGAAAAAAAAGAAAAAATCTGTTAATAGCAAAGGCACCACTACATAACCTGCTTGATAGCCGTAAAAACTTTTGAGAAACTAAGTTGTATGGTTCGGGAGATATGCTCCGGACAAGAGCACTACCCTCAAATTTCCTAAGTTCATCATATTTCCATGGAAACGACAAAAATATAAAATTCTAAAAACCTCTAAATAGCAAAAGGCACTACTACTGAGCCTGATTGGTAAGTGTATCAAGTTTTGTGAAGCTAGGTTGTACAGTTTAGGAAATATGCTCCGGACAAACAATGATTACAGATGGACGGACAGACATACTGATGGCTATATCCCCCCGTCATTATATGTCGGGGGGATAAAAATCAAATATACACAGAGAAGGAGTGACATTTTGTGTTTAACGCCGCTTTTAACAGTATTCCAGTTATATAAAGGCGTGTCAGCTTAATGTGGGAGGAAAGCCCGAAGTGATGCAGGTCTCAAGACGTTTACCACTTCGGTGAAACCCACGAGCACGGGTATGGTGCTGACAAACCTAGAAACATAATTTGGGCTAAATGGGATTCGAACCCACACACAATTTTAGAAATAGTATAGGTGGTAAATGTTTTTTGTTTGTTTTTTTTCCTTTTGAAAGCAAAACATACCCTTGAAGTGTAATTTGTTTCTAAGCCCCTCACCTCAACAAAGTTGCCGGAGTAGAGTTCCTCCAGTGTCACGTCGAGGTCCATGATGACATCACCTCCTTTAGGAACCTCTTGCTCTTGCTCCTTCATACCAAACCCAAAGCCAAAGTCACCAAAGAAACTGTCAAGAAATATGCAACTTTTACTTCTAGGAAACTACTGTACACAGACAAACGTAATGAAAACATGACATAGAACAAGGGGTAACTGTTGCAGCACAATTGCTTCAATGGCTAACAAGGACAACCCATCATGTGCATTGTTCATGTGGATGTAGTAGAAAGAATATTTCTCACCTGGAAAAGGGATCTCCTCCCATGTCACCTTTAGAGAGTCCCTCTTCCCCATGGCGATCATACACCTTCCTCTTCTCCTGATCTGACAATACCTGTGGAGAGTCGGGTCATTAGTGGTTACTGTGTCTCAAAGTTCATGTGGCACTCCTACAACTGGTACATCATGGAATGAATGGTGTTTAAATACTGAGTCAGAAACATTACACTTATCTGTGCCATACTCCATCATCCTGATGTTTCCTCATCCAATGAGGAGAAACAAACTCAGTCAATCTACCTTTGGAACAACTTCACAAACATGATCAAATATCATAAACAGAGGATGGTGCTGTCTCAAATATTTCAGTACCTATATGCAAACAAACAAAAGAATGGGACGAGTCAATCAGTTTGCAGGAATACTTAATAATTCTCAGTGAGTCAGTGAGTATCGTTTTACACCGTTATTAAGCAATAGTCTACGGGTAATATCTGACCTTTTAATACTTATTGTCATTATCTTGATCTGTTTAATGTTAAATGTCATGTTTTCATGGTTTTAATCTTGTATCCAGAGTGGTAGCAAGAATGGTTATCCAACATTTCTTAAAAACTCATCTTCCCATTAACAATCATTCCAGGATCCATTTCCTGATATTTTGTTACACTATTTTATATATTTATTTGATAATTATTTCATAAATAATATAAGGCATTCCAGAGAAAAATAGTAACACCGAGTCATTGTACAATTGAGAGTAATTAATTTAATGCCAAGAGACTTTCACTAAGAGGTGTATTTTATATATTTAGTGATTGTATGAACATTTGGTGTTAAAACAAAGAGATTCATTATTTGTCAATTGTTTTCAGAACTCCGTCATCAGATTGAATAAATAGGTGTTCGGAAGCCCTCCCGTTTTCCCATTCTTCTTTGTCCAAACCAAAAAATTCTGAAGAGTGAAGAGGTTCTTCAAGAGAGTAGAGAGATACAGAATGGCCGAGAGAGGAGTGATAGAGGCAGAGATTCATGAAGAACAAGAGTCAGAAGTACAAGATGGAAAAGGGAAAACAGAGAAGACACAAGAGTCAAACTATGAGTATGTGAAAACCAGACGAAGGGTGCTAAGAGGTAAAATTACAAGATCAATTCGCAGAATAAATGACCAGATCCAAAAAGAAACCCTGTCAGAGAAGATAGCAGATAAAGAGTTAAAAGATCTAAGAAGAGACTTTGACAGCGCATTGAACTTTCACATTGAACTGTATGGGTATGATGAGGAAGATAAACTAGAAAGATGGGAAAATGACCTCACAAGAGATGTCCAATCAATTGAAGTGAAAGTCGAGGACTATTTTACTGTGGAAGGTACTCAGAGTGAAATAAACAGTGTTTCAAAGAGTCCCATGGACACCTGGATAGACAACTTGGCAGAATTTACAGAAACTATACACCCAAAACCAAAAGTAAAAATGTCCATAGCTGAAGCATTGTATCGCCTTGAATCAACAAGAGAAATGCCTGCTAGCAGATCAATGACTTTCAATGGTGATCCGTTACAGTATGTAGAGTTCATTGAGACATTTAAGATTCAGGTTCATGACAAAATTCACTTGAATGATGATCAGAGAATGCAACACCTGAAGACAGCATTAACAGGAGATGCTGCCAGAGCTATAACTGGCCTGGGATGTGCAGGAGTCATGTACACAACTGCTTTGAAGATGGTCAAAGAACAGTTTGGACAAAGATCAGTAATTGCCAGAGCACACATCAAGAAGTTGACAAGCGGGGAGAGACTTCGACCCAATGACAGATATGGACTCAGATCACTTTCACTGGACATCACAAACTGTCTAGCTAATCTAGACAGATTGCAGTTTATCTCAGACGCTAACGCCACGGCCACCAGTCATGCCACTGATCTTAGAGAGAGAGGTGAAATCCCAGACCTACAGACCATCAACAACTACCTTCGTAAGCAGGTGAAGACAGAATTTGACCCAGATTACGGAGACATTGACAAGAGTTACAGAGACAAAGAGAGAGATCAACGAAGAGGGATCCATTCGGTAAGAGATCAAATGTCATGTCTGCAGTGAAGGTCACAGAGTTCCAGACTGTCCTACATTCAGAAATTCAACTGTCCCCAACAGAGTAGACCTGATAAAGAAGAATAGACTATGTTTCTCCTGCCTCAACAAGGGACATGTCACAAGAGACTGTAGACTGAAGAAGGCCTGTGGAAAAGACAACTGTACGAGGACACATCATATGCTAATACATACAGATCCAATAAGATTGGGTTGTGCATCATCAGTGCTAGATCATGACAGCATCTTGCCAGTAGTCAGGGTAAATTTCATATCAATAAATGGAAGAGTAAAAGAGGGAAATGTACTGATAGATGGGGGAGCGGGGACTTCAATAATCAGAAAAGGCTTTGCTAAAACACTAGGTCTACAAGGAGTGAAAGAGGTACTGGAGATAGGGGTAGTAGGAGGCGAGAGGCATGTTAACAGAGATAGTCGTCGTCATAAATTCTGGATATGCCCCCTTGATAGAGATGAAGATTACGAAATCGAAGCTCATGAACTTGACCAGACTGTACTGAGTGTTCCTGATCTGAATAGAGAATGGCTGTCAACGTTTGAGCATTTGAAAGGTATCTCCTTCCCACATGAGGGAGGTGACATTGACATGATACTAGGAGTACAATACAGTCATCTCCATGCAGAACAGGAAGTACGAGAGTGGCGTCCGTTTGAACCAGTAGCAAAACTGACCAGACTTGGATGGTGTGTAATCGGCTCAGACCATAAGCAGAAGACTGGTAGCTCAAGTGTCAACTTCTGTCAAAGACTAACTAATCCAGACATCGCGAGAATGTATGACATGGAGACCATAGGAGTTCAAGCATCACATTGCACCTGTCCCAGAGATATCCTATCAGAAGATGACAGAAATGCACTGGCGCTAATGGAATCTTCATGTCAGAAACAAGGGGATAGATATGTCATAGGATTACCCTGGAAGAGAGACAAATCAGAATTACCAAACAACTATGCCTTGGCTGCAAAACGACTGACGTCACTGGAGAGGGGATTGAAATCTAAACCCCAAAAAACAGAACTATACAAGAAAGCGATGAAGGAATTCATAGACAAGGGATGGGCTGAAAAAGTACAGACTGCAGAGAAGGGAACTGTAATCCATTACCTACCACATCATGGGGTCTACAGGGAAGATAAAGAAAGTACACCCTTGAGAATAGTCTTTGATCCAGCAAGCACATTCCAGAGAGTCTCCTTAAACTCTTTTCTGTACAAGGGTCCATCACTGCTGGGTAATCTGCTCGGTATCCTCATACGCTTCAGAGAAAGAGCGGTAGCATTTCAAGGTGATATATCAAAGATGTTCTTACAGATCTGCCTACCAGAAGCTGATACACAAGTACACCGATTCCTGTGGAGAGATCTAGATACAACAAGAGAGCCTACAGTATATCGTCTGATGAGAGTGACATTCGGTGATAAACCATCTCCTGATATGGCCAACTTCGTCATGTTAAAGATAGCAAGAGAAAATGAAGAAGAGTATCCAGAGGCTACAGAGATATTGACAAATGTCAGATACATAGATGACATAATTCATTCCTGCGACTTACCAGAAGAGGCAGCTAAACTGATGGGAGAACTTGACCACATACTTGCATCAGGTTCTTTCAGGATAAAGAAATGGTATAAATCAGTTGATTCAAGTCCAACAAACACAAGAATGACAGACCTGAGAGACATATCCACACCAGATAAAAGTGAAGAGACTGTGAAGACCTTGGGAGTGTTCTGGAACTGTGAAAGTGACACAATACACTTCAAAGTAGAAATGAAAATGGAAGAGCAGCTAACGAAGAGAATAGTTCTATCCAGACTATCTATGATATATGATCCACTTGGTATTGCAACCATCACAACCATCAGAACAAGAATAGCCATTCAAGTTTCACAAGACTGATCCATGTAACATCATATTGCCTCAGATTTCTCAGAAATCTCAGGTCAGCAGTAAAAGAGAGAAATCTTAACAAGTGTCTGCTTCCAGAAGAGAGAAAATCAGCAGAAACATGGTGGATAAAGCAGGCACAGAAGGAAATTCCAGACTGGAGAAGAACATGCAGTGAGTTATCTCCCTTTGTAGAAGATGCCATCATCAGAGTAGGAGGTAGAGTAAAACATTCATATCTAAACTATGACCAAGTTCATCCCGTGCTGTTAAGTGGTTCCAGTCACGTTGCCAAGCTCATCCTAAGAGAAGTACACAACAAAACATACCATGCTGGTGTCGAGAGAACACGGTCTGAAAGCAGAAGAAAATACTGGATAGTGAAAGGTAGAAATGCAGTGAAAGGTATGGTGTGAAAATGTGTAATCTGCAGGGAAATGCGACAACCTGCGCATTCGACACTAATGAGTGACCTGCCTTCAGAAAGACTGAAGATATATTCACCGCCGTTCACAACAACCGGTGTAGACTTGTTTGGACCATTTCACCTAAAGTATGGAAGAAATAAGAAAATTAAAGCATGGGGTGCTTTGTTTACATGTGCTACAACTAGGGCAGTGCATTTGGAAATAGTAGAAAGTTTGTCAACAGATTCATTTCTGCACGCTCTGAGAAGATTTGCATCACATCATGGCTGGCCATCGACAATCATCTCGGATAATGGTACGTCATTCGTTGGAGCAGAGAGAGAATTGAAGAAAATCTTAAAGGACGGACAGCAGGACATCAAAGAAGTGAGTGCTTTCAACAATGTGAAATGGATTTTCACAACACCTCTAAGTCCACATCAAGGAGGTATCTATAAAAGCCTGATAAAGCAAGCCAAACGAGCAATCCGTGTCGCGGTTGGAGACCATACTTTGTCGTGGAATGAGATGTCAACAATATTCAGTGCATCTGTATCGGACAGTTTGGAGGTGGGTAAACCTTCAGAATACAGAAACCTCAATAATTCACACCCCGAAAACACAACACAAGTTGGTGGATAAACCGTGAAGCGGAAATGTTCAGAAAAAACGTCATTACAGTAGGGTTGTTCAAATATCAAACAGATTGAACATAAGAATTAAACAGTAGTTACCTATACACATTTAGTGGATTGAATTAATTTTGTTAAGAAAAGATTCAATTTATAATTTTGTAATACATTTTCTATTTTAAAAGCTTAAGTTGTCTTTTTGTACTTCTCGGTCGAAAGTCATATTATTTCTTTTGTCGACAGAGAATCATCAATAAATTCTAACTATATCGATTGTTTCGGGTAGATAGTATTTTTTAACTCATTGTATTTCCGCCCGTGCGGCACGAGCACTTGATCACATGCTTTCCAACAGAAAGAGTCAAGCGAGCGAGCGAGAGAGAATGTAACAAATATGGGAGGTTTACTCTTCAGGTAATTAATTGTACTTTATATTGTTTATTAATGCTTAGAGTAGCTTTTCATGTATTATTTCATGTAATTTAATATTTATGCATATTTGAAGGAAAAGTGTAGGATTTTGACAACTGTTGACTCATGGAACAGTCCATTATATTCTAGCGTAGGGATGTTTTCTTAAGTGTACATTTATTAGCGCCAAAGTCACTCTATTTTCAATTTCTTACCAATATTTGTAATGTTTAGCGTTTTCGCTTTATTTAGGCGTTTGTTAGGCTTTCCTTTTTGAGTACATTTACTTGAGCGCACAACCAATTTCCCCTCGAGTAAAATAGACTAGTCCAAATCTCGGCATTAGGCCGACTGGCAGTGTCACACTAGTTTCAGTGTTTGTTTACATTTTGGAGTCAGGTAAATGTTGTTATATATTCAAAAGCGTTAATTCTTTCGCTATTTTGGTATTTTATAGAATATCTAAAGATATTTCCGAGTATTTTGCAATTATTTTCGTAAGAAAAGTGAATTTTCAATTGAGTTTTTTTTTGTAAGCAACAAGTGTATGAAAGCTTCCAGAGATTTTTGCGTGCACTTTATTTTTGAGTAAGTGCAAAAGAGATTATATAGTATGGGTTTCCTGACATTTTGTTACACTATTTTATATATTTATTTGATAAAACATGGGTATATATAACCGTTTCATAACCACGCATAGTCTTGGAGTGGCGGATGAAAACTTAAAGTGCTCGCACCGAGCCCAGGAGAAGTTCACCCTTATCTACGGCGCCAACAATAGTCGATATTGGTGGGATGGTGAAGGAACGTTTGGGTTGGCCTGGTAGTTGATTCTTGCAATAAAATCCCAGCACAACCTGAGATGTACCGCTCCTTGCGTCCCATGCTCAAAACGGACCCACTTAATGTCAATTGGATGCAGTTCTCTCACCCGTGTTGCCGTGGCTAATGCCAAGAGAAAATATTTTTCCCTTGGTGAGGTCATAAAATGAGGATGCTCGAAGGGGGGCCCTGACAAACCTCGAAGTACCACGTTCAAGTCCCATGCATGTTGGCGGAACTTGATCTTCTGATCCTCAAGCCTGAATGAGCGTAGTAGGGCCTGTAGTTCCGTGATCTTAGTCATCTTGCGATTTTCCAGAACGGACAATACTGAGTTAAATGTAACCAAACACGTAGTAATGGTGCTACCCTTCAAGCGTCTCTGGGTACGCAAATGTAGGAGGTATTCCGCTAGGAATTGTTGTGACGCAATTAAAGGGTCTTGATTCCTTTGCCTTGCAAAAAGTCTCGAATGATCCCCACTTGTCATTGTATAGTCCTCTGGGAGAGGAATGATGAGCTAAAGCTATAGCTCTCGCTGCCCACGCCGAATAGCCCTTTTAAAGACGAACCAAGCATGCAGATGCAACCTGTCTGATGTTGGGTGAGGCAATTTTGCTGTGAGGGTGGATGAGTAGGTTCGACCACTGTGTATTTTTTCGAGCTCGACAAACCACCCTCTCGTTTGCCACCAGGACGCAACCAAGATTCCTTGTCTCCTTGATCCCTTGTATCATCGTGGGAAGTAAAATTGGTGGCAGAAAAGTGTACTCTTTTAGCCCTTCCCAAGGAATGCCAAAAGCGTCCACCGCCCAAGCCTGCGGATCCAGTAATGGGAAGACATACATCATGAGTTGGTGGTTTAGGCAAGTAGCAAACAAGCCCAAACTTCTGAAGCAGTAACTGGAATGCTTCTGTGTGAAGTCTCCCCTCGGTGGGAGCCACCCTGTCTGGCGCGATAAGGCATCGGCTCGTAAGTTCTGACATTCGGGAATGCACTGAACTATGAGCTGTAGTTCCAGATGATCCACTAGAAGGAACTACCTGAATGTCTGTTGAAACAGGGAGTGGGAGTGCGTTGTTCCCTGATTGAAATATGAAAAGAATACATCACCCATCGCAGATCAGTTTAAGAATTGTAGTCGAAAACTGAAGGTCTAAATTAATCAAAAGGGAGAGCTCCGCTGGGACACATCCTTGCTGTAGTGCGACAAGAAGTGATGTGAAGAAGGTGACCACAGGTGTCATCAAGGTCACAGGACAGGTGGTGGTCAGTAAAAATTTCTTCACTCAGGACCATCGCTGTTGCGCTGTCCTTTTGTTGTAAGGTAAACAGTGAATGCATTAAGAAGTGATACAGGATAAGTAAACATTTTCTGTATTCATACATTTATATCATTTATATGTACTAATGCGGATGCTATGACATGAGAAAATGGGCTACAAAATGAGGCCTTGTTAAAAATCACCTCATATGCAGCACCAAGATCCTGAAATCTTTCTGCAGCCTCAGGGTCATCGCGGTTCTTATCAGGATGGAGCTCCTTGGCCAACTTCCGATATGCCTTCTTGATCTGATTGGTCGTGGCTGACTTGGACACTCCCAGAATGTTGTAGAAGTCTCTCCTGGAACAAAAGAATCACTGATGATGCTCCTGTATCTAAAGCCATGCATCATAACTATTTCTATCACTTTTAGATGCCAATGTAAAGTCAGTAGGTTTACACTTCAAATAAACATTGATTTATTTACCGTAAACAAGCTGACCATGTGACCATTTAAATGTCAACTAAATACTAATTGGTCATAACACATGAAGAATATCCTGGGAATTCTTTGGTGCAAAGTGCTTTGTCCCCAACAAAATGTAACTTATGTTGATTCTACCAACTGTCAAGATTGTCTGACTATGAAAAACAAGAGTCATCAGAAGATGACAAATCCCCCTGACCCCCACAAAATCCAAAGAATTTCTATGTCAGGCACACAGCTCTATGACAAGAGTCAAAATCATACAGGAAAAAATAAGTTTTGTTAAAATTCCTAAATCATGTAAATAGCAAAAGGGACCACTTCAACCAAGTTTGGATGAAATATGTTGAATAGCTTTTTAGGCGACATTTTTTTTTATATCTTGGTTTACGGATTTCAAATACACTTCAAAAGTGAGGCAGGCCAATTTGAAAAAAGCCTCAGTTTTTTTTTACTTGAAGTTTGTTCTAAAAACTTAGGTAGATATATAAACGTTATTCTGGAGTAACAAAACTATAACAACTCAATTTTTGAAGAACATTTTATCATATCTCTGGCACTCAGCATGTGCACAAATGGCAATATAACAACATTCATGTCATGGGTGGAAATGCATGAAAGACGCGGCTATTTTGGCAACATAGTTGACGTTTAACTCTCTCAACACCAGCCAACCAGAAGATTTCTGCTGTGACACCGAGTTCCCAGAGACTCTTGTGTGATAGATAAAGCCAACATTTATCAAGGAAATTATCTGCTTGTAAAACATCTTTACTACTACGTGTTTGGCTATACACTATTTGAAAGGTCTAATTAATACTATTGTTTATAAATATGAAAGTTCTGTGTATTACATTACTTAAATAATTCATTAACAACTTAATAAATTTTGTTTTAAGTAAATAATGTAAGCTAAAACATTCACAACGTCCAGATTAAGGACCAATGAAGCGAAAATTTAATGATTTTCAGCTATAAAAGATTTCATAAAATCCACTTATCTATTTCTTATTTATTTCCATTTGTTAGTGTAGTCGGAACATTATTTTAAAAAGAATTACAAATAATATCTGTCATCACCAATTTCCTGATGGTTGTGGCTGTCCGCTCACTAACATGAGGAAATAAGCTTCGTATGAATAAATTGTACGCCGAAGGCTGCCAAGTCAAAATACAAAAAAACAAACTTATATTGTTTCACGGACATAATCTGCTACAAGGTTCGTGATTGGTCAAATTTAAGCATGTGACCTAAGGCAGCCAATCAAATAACAACGGCACTGTCCTCGTGTATGATAATTTTCAGACTTTGATGAAAGGTTTGGGTTAAATCATGTTATTCTGAACCTTTTAAGCATGAAATCGTGATATATATTAAAAATATGGAACTTCATGGATATATAGTTCTAGGTTACGAGCAGTGACAAAGATTTCTTATGCATATATTTTGACATTAAAGACATCGTGTCCAAGCCGAGAAACTGAGGCGACAAAAGCCGAGATGTCATTTGACTTAGTCTAGATTACATGCGATTGCACAAAAAGATGGAAATAATAACTTAGATGTCAGTTTGGCAACTTTGAGATATATTTTTGTTGATTTTATTACTTTGTAAAATGTATTTAAAGATTTGCTTGAAACATTTTTATTTTGCTGTTTGATATGTGTGATGAGGACCCGTTGTCAAAGCATGGCCTAGAATTTTATTTTCAATAACATTGCGGGAAATAGTAAATGATTTTTTAATCTTTATCTATTGACAAAAAATGATAAAATCAAATGGAATATGTATTTCAGACATTGCGAAATGTGAATTAATAAATGAATGATATGACAGGTAGGTTAATAAACTTATAAACTATTTTCACGTGACTTGGCCGGCCTACCCTGCGGTTTCTGGTGACTCGTGGCTTCTTGGCCAGTGTACTGGCCATCAGTGTTGAAAGTGTTAAATTGGTCACCACTGCGCTTTGACAAGCTTTCATGGTATTAGAGAAGTATCCCAACAAGAAATATCAGAGTGACTTCCCTTTGCTTTACACTTGCAGAGCAAATGGAACTAATTTCTTTTGTTTGAACTTTTAATGCATTTTTAAAGTGAAGATCAGCGGTAATAAAAAAGGAGTAGTTGTTTTAAAAAAAATAATTCATCATTTGGACTTTGAAAGTATGGCGCATCCATAAACCAAGTAATAAAAATAAATGTTGCCTTACTTCTGCTCCGGAAAAGACATCTATCTCCGTTTCAGCCAAGTCTAACTACTTTCCACGGAACAGGGGGGAGGGGAAAAATCAAATTAAGAAAACTTTCCTAAGTAGCAAAAGGCACTACTTCAGCGCTTGGTTAATACATGTACCAGGTGTGGATTGAAAGTTTTCGAGTTGTGCTGTTTCAACGCCCCACTTCTGAGACTAAGTCCAAATTGTTTCCATGGAAATCAAGAAAAATAAAAATGCGGACGGACGGACTGACAGACGAGGCTGTGATTATCATGATTATGCCAGGGGGATAAAAATCAGCTAATATCATTATGATGTGATGTGGGAGGAAAGCCAGGGACAAGGTGCTGACAAACCTAGAAACAATTGCGGCAAACAGGGATTCCCATATATCATGTTTCTGGGTGCCTTAGATTTGTGATGCCTTAGATGAAAGGGCCACCTGTGCCCGAACATATAGGACAATAAGCATGATAAGACTGTTGTGGAAGATGATTGAACCGTATGATATACAATTCTTCAAATTGAAAGCTGTGAAGTCCCACTGGCAGGTGGTAAAAGGTATGCCTATGTAAAGTCTTATCGATTGTAAGAGATATGATTTACAGCTGCCCAACTGTATGTTCACATTGTTGCCGAGTACATCTAATACAATAAACCCACTGTTAGATCACAGGAGTAAGGAGTGTGGGCAGAGCTGCAAGTACAAGAGCATGTTGCCCTATCATGCCTATAACCTTTATTAAAATGATTAAGACAAGCCTATTCAGAAAATGACAAATCCCCCCGGCCCCCATAAATTCAAAAGAACAAATTATCTGACCATGCTGACTGTTGCTTTAAGTCCAACTTGATGAGATAATATCTATCCAATCTGTCTGTTTGTATACAAGAGTAGTTATTGAGCTATTAAAACAATACCATGGAATAGGGATTCAGAACTTTGTATTTCTATTAAAGACTAGGTCTGGATAAACACACCAATACTTTACTTTTCTCTTCATGATCCCTAGGGTTGGGCATCACTTTCCACTCAGACACCCCATTACGATCCTTCGGGATAATTGTGAGGTAGGTACTGGATTAGCTATCACTCTTAATAAATTAATTCGATGTAATTTGAGGGAAATTTGTAAATGTGTATCAAGATTAGTGGAGAAAATGGAAACCGAAAAAGTGTGTGTGGTATATTTGGACCCCATGGTACCGCGGCATTCATCGTATCGCGGCATTTGTGATTTCCGGTAGTTCACGCGGGACACGCCTCATAGCGGCTGTCTATTAATGCAAATCAGTAACCGGGAAGTGCTCACTTCGTAAACAATTTCAATTTCCTCGGAATGTTCCGTGTCTGCTGTAAGTAAGGAGTTATTAATCCGTCGATACATATTTCTGGCATCTGTTGTAATATTGCCTTACCCCCATCTATCAATGGCCAACGATATAACCCGCAGTTCCCCAAGTAAACTTTCTCTATCGACCTGAACTAGATCATCTGCATATTCATGGCGACTAATGAGGTAACGGAAGTTACGTAGTCCGCACATTTTTTCCCGCTCTGTGCCCAGAATCTATTGGGAGATCATAAGGGCCATAATGCCAAACTTAGAAATACGTTCTTCACTAGTAACCAAAAGATAAATACATACTTTGGGCATACTAGGAGTGCTTTTTATATATTTATTGTTGACTTTAAACATTTTTCCATTTTGTGATAAATTATTGTCATCCAATTTTTTTTAAACAATCTTAAAATATCATTTCTAATATTTTGATGTTGACTTATAAAAATATTTTTCTCTTACTTTTCGGTAAATATGCATTGAATACCTATTGCTGATAACACATTTAGAATTTTACTTGTGCTGTCTTTGCACTTGTCTGGACAAATCACTGATGTCTGGCATGATCATACCAAGTGGTTGGTAGAATTATGTCCTCTGTTTGTCCAATTCGGACCTCCATACACAACTTTTCTCTGTACCGCGATACGATGGAGTTCTCTCCCTTGTCAAACAGAGCGCGAGGCCTGGCTTTTACTCGGAGCTACTAATGTAAATAATGAACTTTTATCAGTAAAATATGCATTGTTTGATAACATGAATGATATCTGGTACAGAGAACACGAATAAACATAAAGGTTAGTGAGTGCATTTTGTTCCGTTTAGCGTACATGACAAGTACCGCGATACCCCGAGGTTGCAGGCTACTTCCAAATCAAAGTTTGTTTGTTGACGAGGATCAGCAAACTGCTAGGACATTTACATCTTACAACGTTAATGTAGAATATCTTTTTTTATGTGTATTATTATATATTTGCGGGTTATAGCTAAAACGGCACCTCAGCAAAACTGCACTGATTGGCGAAAACGTCACCTCGCCTCAAGCGAAAACGGTTACTATTACCTGGCGGAAACGGCAAATGGTAATTTACTCGCTGTTTGCTGATCCTCGTGCATGACAACTTCCTTCTTGTTCTGTGCATGCTTAGTGTGGAAGGTTGCGGTCTGTGTGTTATAGTGATGGCGTTTCCATGTTTTCAACAGCATGCTCTCAGATTTATGATGCTATTTCTTAGTTTTTGGTTATGTTCTCAATGTTTTTTTACAGCCCGATTTCTTGTGTATTGTAGACATGTACGACAGTATTATGTTGCAGTGTGTCAGCTTTCATTAGTCGGCTTGCAAGTCGCCTCTTACGACCAGAATCTATTGCTAGAGAACAATTCTAAGCCGGAATCGTCACGGGTTAGAAAACCAAAACCACACCATCTAACACTGAAGAATATGTATTAAACCATCCCGAAGTTAGGATACGTCGCAGTGAAGAAATTTAGAAGACGAATTAGAATCTCAGTGAAATATATAAACAGTTTAAAACTCGAATTCATAGAGATTATTTAACCACAAAATAGAAATAGTCAATCCATATGGACGCAATTAACATATACATAAAAGAAAAGGACAACGTAAATAAACAACACGAACTACACATACACTTGTACACGTGGGCCAATGGCATTCGGGCACGCATTCATTTCACCGGCATCAAGTCTAAAACATTGTTCAGAACAAAACTAAACTGGAAAAACTTATTTAAACGAACAGAACATGATATCAACGCTATTCCAACAACGACCACAACACAATGAATATTCCTACCCTGCCAAAACTTGTTCTGTCAGCAATATAACAGTGACAGCGACAACACTCCACGATACAGACGACGCCATGTTTACACTTCCTGGCACAACTGACGAGATGCATTGTGGGTAAGACAAGGGTTTCTGGTGACTGTGTTTTGGCGATGCAAACAGTATTTTTAGAAACATTAAAGTTTGGTGAATTTACATTTATGATAGCATGGGTAGGTTTATCGGCGGGATATAAAGCCAACGGATAAAGACGGTATCCATTGGGACCATTTACAGATAAATATGCAAATATAAAAGGTCAGGTACGTACGTACTACCTTCCGTTTTTACAAACATTATATGGCGTTGCCTTAGTCTATTGGCGTAAGATACCGAGGCGAAGCTGAGGTCTTTCACACCTATAGGGTTGGATTTGCCAGAAATATATCCGAAATCTTAGTTTCGGAATCTAAATATGTACAAATTGTTTAATAGATCGCTGTTTGGTATAACTCACTGCTATTCGTTTATCTCGAAACGAAACTTTATGACAGGTCATGTAAACTATTAAAAATACGTGACATTTTATAGACTAGAGTAGCTTTCCTTTGATAAAGGGCAATTACTCGATTGCCGCAAAAGTTTAATAATTATCTGTAGGAAATTCTCATTTTGCCTTTACGCCACTGTCTAAAAGACAAGTTTCTGTTGGAAGTATATATTAATTGACTGTTGTTTCTGACTGACTAGTTAATTAGGAGATAAACCTACTGTGTTTTGAAATTTGATGTAGTCCGAAAAGTAGAGTAGATACCTGTTATTTATACATTTGAAACCTCGCGCTAAAGCTCTCGGTTCCAAATTAAAATAAGAGGTATCTACTCTACAGTGGGATTACATCAAATTTCAAAACACAGTCCGAAAAGTAGAGTAGATACCTGTTATTTATACATTTGAAACCTCGCGCTGAAGCTCTCGGTTCCAATTTCAAATAAGAGGTATCTACTCTACAGTGGGACTACATCAAATTTCAAAACACAGTAGGTTTATCTCCATTCTACCATGACGGCAACAATGCTTTGAAAACGTTGCTCTCTTGCAACGTGTAACAACACAGGTACAAAGGTCCACAATCTAAGAACATTCCGAAAAGTGGTCAAAGGAAGTTACATATATAACAGCTATTACTAAAATACCCATAGTCTTGAGTAGTCCAAAATAAGTGTTCAAAACACATATTTTTTTTCATAAAGAAGTTGACAAATAACCCTCCGAACTTAGTCCAAAGATAGATGTTTTAATTTCATCGCAACCTGCTGTGCATTGTTTGGACTCACCAAGTCATTTCTTGGAAATCGAACATGCCATTTCCCGTTGTAGGGGTAACAGGTTGTAGAAATAGTTTTAACAATGCTATACGAATATATTTCTCCAACAAACTTAAGGGATTAATTATTAACTCAACATTCTACTATTTATTTTACATGTGTAAGTCTTATAAGTAGTGAGCAATTACCCCCGGTAAAAAAATAATAAAAATTAAAATAAATGTCTCTCCACCCCGAACTTGGATGTGGCCGAACTTTACATACATCACGGTTATTCACACCTCACAACTGTCAACATGACTGAAAATGTTGTTGTCTACATTTCCGGAGACACGTTACGAAAAGCAGTATGGCAACCCCGATCTATGATGTGGTTCAACATTAACCTGTAGATTCACTGGGAATGAGCTTACTGGTACAATGTGATTACTAATATAACTGAGTATGACTGAACAGCTCCTTTTTAAGCTGCAGACGAGCCGGCTATGTTGTTGACACAAGGAATCTGGATGATTTGACCTGTCAATTTCAAAATTTCAAGGATACAAAGCCAGTGTGTGAAAGCAATGCGACTGTTGTGGCCCAGATATATTAGTTCGTGTATTATTTTCTTAAATATGCGTGTTCTGAAATGAATTTCATCAAGTTTGATAAGCTGTGTCTTCAATGATGTCGGGACATTGTAGAAGGGACTAGTGTTTTCTGATGGACTTTCAAATCCCCTCCTGCCAAATCCTTACGGTGGTGGTTGACGGAGATGGCAATGAATATCGATCACTAAAAGGTTTGTAAACAACATGTTGTCATGAATAAACTTCTTCACACACATTTTATAATGTCATATTTTACTTTCATTGTCGATTGTTTCAATGACGAAATAGCCTGTTACGAGTCTGTTCGCTTCGAACATGTCCCTAACAGTTTCATAAACATTTCATTTGTCTGCAAAAGATATACCTTCGTAAAGTCTCGCATTCGTCACCAACGGCCCCTTTCCGTAACCTGCATGAAGACTCGTCCCCCTATCGATGAATGTTATGTGCAAAAATACGACAAACCAATCAGAATGCGCGTATGATTTCAAGTACTTCGTCAAAGAATCCCTCAGAAATAATTTTTGATTTTACATATGTCTTGCATCTAAAAATATACCCAAGACACAGTTAAATGTGTTCAATCATACTGTATAATTCCGCAAGTCCCGATGTGCTTAAATTGCATCTGAAATATATATGATATATTGTGAAATATATGTGAACCATTACGCAACGAATCGCCAATTGTTTTAGGTATGCCCGTTTGCGCTAAGACGGAACCCCGTCGCAAAAATGGCCACGAGAGGGGCACGAGTCGCTATTCGGCTTGTCTCGGAATAACACGAGTTGGTCACGAATGAAAGTCTCGTAGTCTCATCATCGAAGCAGTCAGTGTTACATCATATCGTCGCCAAAAACATCCGACATCAAACTACCGTATTTCCTCTATTAGACACCAGGCCGTCTATTAATTTTGCGGGAGCTGTTGACCCAGCAAGTATTATAGACCTGGCTTGTTTTAGCGACCAAGCGTGTAATAGAGGAAATATCGATGCGTTTTACATTTCCTATATGTGTGGTCGATCGGCAGCCATTGTTTATGAATCGATATGTGGCTATAGGCTACCGATGTATTCGTGCGCACGTTTTTTTATGTGAAAAGTCTTAATATATTTAAAAGGGGTTTCCGGAGAAGAAAGGAAACCTCTTTTTAACCAATCAGAGTCAAGCATTCTTCAATGTCATGGTAGAACCACTAACATTGTGACTTGTTATATTCATGCGCACATTTCAGGAAAACTTGCAATGTTTAGATACCGTTTGTGAGAGATTGAAATACAATGTACTTATTTTGATGACAGATTTAACAATGGCATCATATAATATAGATGTTATCAAGCTTGCGAGTTTTGGATTGTAAATATCATGTATTAGGAATAAACACTATGGGCTTAGCTCTCCAAGACTCGCTAAATACAATGTTTATTCCTAATATCTACCACTTGCTTGATAAATATATGTATCACTTTCGACACCGCCTGGAATATTTTGACAAACTTGGATGTTTTGAGCAGCTTGCGTCGTTCCCGTGGCTAGCACCCAGTGTTGATCATAGGGATACCGGAGAACACCTGCACCAACCTGCTTGATAATATATGCATGAGAGAGAGAGAGAGAGAGAGAGAGAGAGAGAGAGAGAGAGAGAGAGAGAGAGAGAGAGAGAGAGAGGGGTCCGAGCATCATGGTGTGGGGTGGAATTGGTCTTGCACAGAGGGTCGGGCCTGTGGTCTTCCAGAACATTGGTCCAGGGAGAGGCAATGGTGTCACAGCAGCTCGGTACATTGATCAAGTCTTGAGACCACACGCTATACCTCATTTGGTACATCTCCGCAACCACGAGTTTCAGCATGATAACGCCCGTGCCCACACTGCGAGAGCAACAAGAGACTTCCTCCAGCAGAATGGCATCAGAACTATGCAATGGCCTGCCCTCAGTCCCTATTTAAATCCCATTGAGCACATGTGGGACGAGATTCAAAGACGGCTGAATGACGTCCGACCACTGTGTTTACAGTGTTTGGACAAATAAGGTTTCTCATATATCTATCCATACAGCCAACCAACCACCCGTAGCACGATTATTTAGGCTCGACTTTCACAACCAAATGTCCGCATTATTTTGAAATGTCAATACAAAAACCAAATGCGCAGTCGATCATATACTTTTCTAAGTCCTTTTAAAACATTCACCTCAAAATACTGTAACTTGGCGTTTAGGGGTTAGTAATCATAGTTCATTACACGTTTGTTTAGAAGTGGTACACGTCTGAGACCTGCATCACTTCGGGCTTTCCTCCCACATTAAGCTGACACGCCGTGATACTGGAATACTGTTAAAAGCGGCGTTAAACCCAACTCATTCACTCACTATTATGCTGGAGATGGTTATTGTCAAAATGGTTTACATTTTAAAATCATAGACTCTTTAAACACTCTAAAAGGAGTTTGTGTGTTTTCAGAGGTTTAGAATTTTATGGTTTATTGGCATCAGATAGATATGTTGCCACTTTGGGAAGATTTTCTCCTTTGTCATACTTTTAATTTCGTTTTTTGATACTAGTAGCTTGATGCTTACTTCTTCTAATTTTAGTGCTGATTTGGCTGCTTTGTCTGTGTGTTCGTTGCCAACGTGGGCAGGGATCCAAACTATTTCTATGTCTGTACCTAGTTTACGTAGATTGTTGGCGCTTTTAATTGTCTGTTGTATTAGTTTTGGGCGCTTTTTGTGTTTTTGTTTTTTATGGCCTGGAGCCCACTTAATGAGTCTGAAAGGATGAGGTTTTTTTTGGTGTCTATTTATTTGATCGCCGTGCAGGGCTGTTATTATCCCCATTAATTCGGCTGTGAAAATTGATTGATTTTTTGGGAGCCTATAGGATTTTGTTTCTTTTGGGGGTTTGTTGATATGGATGCCGAATCATGTGCGTTTTGAGCCCGAGTCTGTGTAAATGTGACACCAATTTGGCCATTTTTCGTGAATGTATGTTAGTGTGATGGATTTAGCGGTATTTGGATCAGTTTCTTTATTTAGTCTGGTGGAGAGAGATATGTAGATTTAGGGGGTTTGGAGGTGAAGGTGTTATTTGGGGCTGTGTTTAACTGTAAATCATTTAGGTTGTGTGTATTTAGGTAATTTATTATGCGTTGCGAGATTGATGTTAATTGAGGGTTTTTGCAAGGTAGAGCTTGGAGTCTGGGGCT